GCAAGAGGGGGGAGGGGAAAAAAAAAAGGGGGCGGTTACGAGCTGAGGATAGCAATGCCTTATAATACTGCTCCTCAGATACCTCAAGAAGGTCAGAGTCTTAGCGGTCACCGGGATGACTGCGCAGATGGGAGTGGATTAATAAATACCGGGAACAGCTGGGAGAGGGAAAGCTATTATTATGGAAGAAATTTGTCAAGGGGATGTTGTGGTGCGGCTCAAATGATGAGACCGGGATTGTCTTTTTGCTCTCAAAAGAATAAGTTGCAGCAGCTCCACCAGAGTGCTCACCAGCCTCAACGTGCGCAAAAGCTGCTAAAATCGACTCTCCATCCGGTTCAGCTGGAGATGGCTTTCAGGCAAAAAAAGAAAAAAAAAAAGACTTTGCTAAGGGATGGTTATTTTATCATTATTTAATTAGAAACACTCCTGGCTTCGGCCATCGAAATTTGCTGAATCGGTCAGTGTAGGAGAAAGCGCTAGAGCATCTCAGTCAGCGATGGGCCTTGTCCAGTCTCGATTGTGAGTGGAGATTTTAATAAATAACTGGCTAAGTGCTGACGAACGGTGTGGGTTAACCGCTCTAGATCACTCGGACCTGTTCATGGTGTGACTAGCTGAGTCTGGCTGCTACTGGCAGTGGGGCGCTGGGGTTGTGAAAGAGGTCGGAGAGGAGGGGCACAACAGGCACTGTTGATGAAAAATGTGCGGTGCTGCTTGCTGCCAGAGCGTAGACCGGAGGGCGATGCTGCCGTTCGTCGCACCTACACTCTCATCAGCCGGGGTCGCTCAAATTAATGCCAACCAAACACACACACTCTCTCTCTGTCTCTCTCTCTCACCCGCCGGTCATCCCCCAAGCACCCGCTGAATGAAAAAGTACCCCAACAGCCATCGGAAGGATGAGTTATTTTAATACCCCGCCATTTCCTGATGATTGGATTGCACTGGTGTAGGAATGAAATACATGATGGGTAAGGTAAAACCCTCTTTCATGATCACCTCTCAATTGCACTCTTTTTCAGTAAAAGACCAGTTCTAGATGTGCATGACAAGAATTAGTAATTTGCTCCCCGCTCAAAGCTCGTTGGCATGAAAGGGGCACGCGGAATCGCACCGCGCTAAAGCTGCTTTCAAAAGTCTAGACGGCTTGCCGGGCTGGGACTCGTTTGTATTAAGACCCTTGACTAGAACTCTCGGGTGATGACAAAAAAAAAAAAACTCCCACACGGCTCACGGCGACGTGGTCGGTCTGGGTTGAGACAAAAAAAAACTCCTCATACAAGAGGAGCCCTTCCATACTGCTGCTAGAGAGAGAAAGCATTGTCTGTCCTCTCGGTGGATGTTATTCCGCGTCGGGTGGCGGCCGTGAAGCTTTGTGCAGCGTCCACGTGTTATACAACACCCTTCGCGACACGCAGCTCCATGATTGTCTTCTTCCGCCTCGTCACACCCCTCGTCACAAGCCCCGACCAATTGCTCCATACCCTCCTCCCATGTCCCATCCCAAGTCTTGGTCGATCATCTCCCGCCTCTCGATCACCTCGACGCCCTCCCTTCTTTGACTGAGCCCACTCCCCCCACTTACATATCATTCGCTGTCTTGGCTAAATTCAAATCTTGTTCCTTGAACACCTTCCTCTTGGTGTTATATGTTGGTGAGCTAGTAAATATCTTGACAATGTTGATGTCCGCTGGCTTCGTCGCAAATTGTGTTTTTATTCATGTGTCATCCAGCTTACGCTCCAAATATAACCTTCAACATTGCTTCGAGCAAACGGAGAGTAGGATCAACTGAGACGAGATGCTTTTGTCTCTGTTCTCCATGACATGATATGTTTTTTTCTTCTTCATGGCCTCTGCTTTTGATCAAAAGGCAAACATAATATAGTCCAGTTCACATTGATGACTTGGACAATTGACATGAAACTTTCACACTTTTGTTTTGTTCATTTGATTAGGATCAGTAGTTCATCATCATGAGGGCTCAACCTCATGACTAGAAATCTCTTATAAAAAGATTGATGTTTCAGGGTGCTAATAATGGAATTGGTGTTCAAGCTCCCAATATGAGCTAAGAAAAAAAATATCCTTTGAGGGATTAGCCTGGTTCTTGCAATGACCTTCTCTCTCTGGGTTGCTGAGCTTGCATACACACCTTGCTTGGGAGAATGACAATTCCACTAAATTCTACATTCAGCAAGCTACATGTGATAAAATTCAGCATATTAAACCTGTCCAGCCCCCTGTTTGTTTTCTTCTTCTTTTTATACAGCAACACCCTCACCCTTTTATGTCCCACATATATTCATATCTCACACATCACATATTGCCTCATTGTATTGGCCTCATCCATTTTTCTGTCAAGGAGCCGCATCAAGATGTATTGATGTGGGAAACTCCTACTGTGCAGGACAGTAGGCAGTGCTTGGAAGTGATATGGGTGATGTTGAGGCTATATTCTGGAAAGGGTCCTGCAAGCCTGTGCCTCTAGAGTGGCAGCTGGACACAAGATTGGTGTCCATCAAGGTATATTTCTCAAAATTAAACCAACTCAAATAAAACCAGACCCAAAGTGAAGGCAATGTGCACACATTGCCTTTCTAGGTACAAAGGGGCCCTTTTGTACCTAGCAAGGCAATGTTTACATGTTGCCTTTGATTTTGGCCTGGTGTGAGCACATCTAGAAGAGAAGACTTTTCTTTTTCTCTGACAGTCAGCTATGGGAAGTGTACTGGAGATTAAGCAGTGATACACTCTATCCCTCTGGATGATTCAACAGAACTTCCTTGTAAGATTTCAATTTTTTAGGGCATTGGTCCACATTGTCTTGGCACTGGGCCTAGGATTTCCAAGTGGAAAACTATATTATATATATATATAGTTTTTGAATAATCACCTAATAATAGGAGAGAAAGTGTGATGACAAAGGAACAAGTAGTGTTGATGGGTTTAAAAAAACCCAACCCTGGTGGAAGCAATAAACAAGAAGGGTGAACTGATGCCTCAAATAAGTGCATGAAATTTAAGTGATAATGGCACTGGATGTGGGGTAGAATTATCTAAAAGTAAAACAACTTTAGAATTCTGGGTAAGTTGTTATGATCTTGTAAACCCCCTCTAGGACTTGCCAGGGGTTTCTCCAACTGGAAGATCATGTCCAGCCTCCGCACCTTTGTACATTACCCAGTTAGCAATCTACTATCTCAATCACAACATGATTTGCGCCAGTTCTGGTTTGTGTCTGGACTGGGGCTGAAACTATTCCCTGAGTCTGATTTTCAATATTGGGAGAACTGCATATTAAATATTATTTGATTTGTGAATCAAAATTCAAACTCCACTTCTTTTTTAACCTTGAAGGTATCAGAATCCTAACACAACATCAGGATGTTACATGGCTTAAACAAATAGGAGAAAAGTTATCTATTAAAAATTCTTGTCAGAGAAAAATTGATAAAATGTTTTATGCATATTTGAAGCCTTGAAGTGGAAAGGTTTGCTGTCTATAAGGCTGAAAGGTCCTTAGAGAAGATACAATTGTAGAAAGTAGATGGAGAGGTGGGACATCAGTTTTCCTGAGAATTGGTGAAGGTTTTGGTGAGCCTGAAATATATTGAGGATAGAGTTAAGATGTTCTGAAAATGACCTGGAAGGCTGATAGTATGTACATAGGGAAAATAAAAGATATCTTGAAGGCATATGGTGAGAGCTGAGGTTAATTATGAACCCAAAATTCAAATAGAAATCACTTGAAAAGCATTTTTCAAAAAAAAAAAAAAAGAAAATTGTTTTTCACCAATCACTCCCTCTGAAATGAAATAGATCCCGATATAAAAGATATGGAATTTGAGTTTCAATAGTTTGATAAGAAACACAAACAAGTTTGATAGATTCAAGAACAAAGGATACAAGGAGTGTGAGAGGGTCAGTATGATATGGTGGTTCAGTTGGTATTGGATGAGTACAATCATTGAGTCCTAGGTGGAGAAAAACACTGGGAGATACCCAAAAAAAAGAACGAATGAAGAGTATGATAGATGAGATTCAATTACTGTACTGGATTAGTTCATGATGACTATGAGGTTCAAGGAATTGATGAGGCTTTAATGATCAGGTTGAAATTAGCAGTGAGAAGAGATGACTTGGATCTGAACTCTGACATAACTCCCCTTGCCTGAGTCAAAACTTTAACTCAAACCCAGCACTGTACATGTTGAATTCATATTCCTATCTACCAACAGAAACCAAATAAAAAATAAAAAATTGAGTTAAGGAATGAAACAATCAGAAAATAACAAGACACAAGGACCTTAATCTTATTTAGGGGAAGCTGATCCCATCCAGATAATACTTAGAAATGAGGCTAAAGTTTCACTCCCATGAAATTTCATGCAGAAAAGAAACTTTCATTATTCAGAAGCCTACAACAGAATCAAATTAACTTGGTGATAATTTTACAGCAGTGTTTCCCTTCTCTTTATTTACACATCATCAGTTGTCTTCTTAACTTCTTTTCAAAATTTTGTGGTAATTAGTCTTTTCTTAACTATTGTGATCTCTTCCCTATCTTTTATATCCACTTCTAAAGCCTTGTTGTTTTAAGTCTGGTTTCCAGTTGTGGAAATAAATTAAAAATATTATTCAAAATATTATTCAAGTGTCTAAAAAACATCCCTGGTGTTGATTTTCATCATATTCAGGGTATAGAAGCTTCCAAAATTTCAGGCAAATCACTTGAAAAAACTTTGGTAGGACTGATGTGTTAAAAATACCAATTTTTGTAGGTGGAAATAAATTGAAAATGGTTTGAATATATTACAGATGATAGGAATTTTGAGGGAGCTTTTCCTCTAATAGGGGGTATCAAATATGAATGTTGAAATATTGTAATCCACAGTGTCTTAAAAATATATTGGCCTGTGTGAAACATAATTCTGTGAGCTTATGTATCCAAATGTGATCAAGTGATAATTTCAAAAATTAAGAAATCTGGAACAGAATTGGTAGCCTAGTGGGTAAAGGCATCAATTCTATTATTTTTTCTTAGCTAGTAGCTAAGGTCTCTGGTTCAAATCCTGCCCAAGTTAATCTTTATTGATATATTTCTGAAAAATGCATTGTTAATTTTCAACAACAACCAAAACCACCATCAAAACCCGTTAATTAGAAACCATGAAATCCACAATTTCTAATGGAGGGATTTCCAAAAAAAGTCTAGCTATAATCAAAAAGGGATTTAAAAACAGGAAGATTTCTCAGCAGCCTCAAAATCCTTCTGATCAAAATCAGTTACTTCTGGAAGACTCACCTTATGCAAGTGATTGGTACACAATCCCAGCTTATAAAGGGAATGAATTTCTTTACCGTTGGAATGTTTATTGTAATTACGTTCTTGCACAGTCACAAGTAAAGATAATAAATGCCATTGGTATTCTGAAAGGTTGATTTTACAGCTTGCATGAGATCCGGACTCAAGTAAGGAATCACAGAGAGATGAAGGTCACAATAATGTGGATAATCAGCTGTGTTTTTCTCCATAATCTTCTGGTGGAATTGAAGGATCAATGGAATGAGCTGTGTGAAAAATATGAGCCAGATTCAGCTCCTGTAGTTGTTAAAAACATTGAAAAGTCAAACAATGGGATATTTGGGATCTCAAATCCAATTACTCTTTCCTATTTTGAAGAATCTCCATGAATTTTACCACATAATTCATCAGAATAATAGGCCGGATGATACTTACTTACTGCTCAATGTTCTGTAGCTTTGGTAACCAGTTCTCTCAAATTCATAGTCTGCTACATCTGAAACCAACCAAAATAGAAAACCCTGCCCAAAGCTCCTTGTTCCCACAGGCTCAAAAGCTCATCTCCAAACCAAGCACTTTGTTCCAGTGCTGATCATTTTCCAAAAAAACTTTCTTTTGCTTTTTACCCTGCTCACCATCCCCAGCCACCTGTCATATGCCAGCTATTTCCATCTCTAGAATCTCAACTTGGTGATGAGATTGCTCCAGCACCAAGACCAGCCTTGCTGCAAGAAATACTAGAACAGCACCAGCACCAGCTTTAAGACCAGAAATTCTTTTTGAGCTCCAGAAAGAAGACATGGCTGATATTGGGTGCCACTCCACCCACCTGGCCCGTTGAGTGAGTGGTTTGATCCATGTTGTTAATTACAAATTGTGCTAATTTTTTTACCTTGGCCTCATCTTTAGGCCCAGAAACTAGTTATCTTGCCTGCCTGGCTTGTCCATCATGGCCTATCAACCTCTGAAGTTTCCAACCAACCCACCCAACCTCCATCTACTCATTCTCAGAATGCTTATAACCTTCTGCTGAAATCTTTCACATATAGTGCCAATGTGCTCATTACCAGGAGGAGGGAAGTCCTCAGGAGATCAGTGAGGAGGAAGGGGGGGGGGGTGAAGCAGACGGGTTCATAGCCAAGCCACTCACCAATTGACAACAAAAGCCGTTAATACAAAGCTAAATGACAGAAAGAAAGACAGCTCAACACCAAACTGAACCTCTCTGTAGTCTCACATCTTCCTGTCCACATTTCCAACCCCAAACCCAATGCCAAAATTTGTTTATTAAACAAATCCTTCCTCTGCTGGGTGGATGAATCTTAAAAAAAGTTTTCTGCTATAAAAGTTCATCCCTTTGCAACAATAGATATTTCTCTCAAGTCCCAATACCAAAATCTCATTGCTCAATACACCTATCAAAATCCAAACAAGTTGAAGGGGCCACAATATTCAGTAAAAATGTATAGGTTTGGATGGCAAAAGGCATATGAAAAATCCCCAAAAATTCACAATGAGTAACAAAGGTTGTAAAGGATCCAGAGGAATATCGGGAGCTCCAAACAAATTTTTCTGAACAAAACAATTTTATTCAAGAATATTGATTCTTTTTTTTCTGGTCCTCTATTCAATGAATTCAAGCAGAAACACAATCCCCTTAATGTACCTGGATTGAAACCCTGAAGAGGATCCTAACGGTTTTACTTGCCATTTATCCTTCACTATCTCCAACTTTGCCAACTTGCCTCACAAAGAAAACAATGCCTCACCCTTCACATTGGCCACGTGGATCCCAATAAAACAGACCACAGGTAAATTGGTTGAAGAAAAATTTAAAGTAAAAGGTGGTTAATTTGTTTTTCTAGATGATTCATGCGGTATTAACTTTTCAGGATTCAATGGAATTATTGAGTCTGCCTGGAAAGCCACTGAATATTCTCACCTAAATCTTCCTTCTCATACTCCATCTCAATCCTTACATACCTTTATGAGGATATCCAGCCAGCTCCCCAAGAAGACTCAAGCTGCTCTTGAAAAAAATTAAAAATAAATTCTATGAAAATCATCCAACTCAAAGCAACTGGGGTATTAGAGATATGAATAAGATAATTTAAGACTCAGATTCTTATTATAATAAAATGTTTTCTCCTATCTTTGTCTTTATCATATATCTATTTCCCTAAGAAATTAATTAATTTTCATAAAGCCTTAGAAAAACTACTTGAACAAGTTTGCCAGGCGCTCAATCTCTTCTGTTCTTTCTCTGATTGCAAAAAAACTGGGTAATAAAATCATAATTTTTCCCAATGTGTTCTTGAAATGTCAATTGATCTAACTTGGTCATCTAAAACCTCCTGTATTTTTCTTTCTCCTCCTTCTCCCAGTCTAGATTTTTCTCTTCTAGCTTGATACCATGATCCCACTTATTTTCTTCCAGTGCAACCAGGTAGTTGAATTTTTCCTCCTCCATTTCAACACCCTTGTTGTCATCATTTATGACCTGAAACTCAAATTTCAAAATCTCAAAGCTTTGTTTATTCCTGAAAATTTGGGACTTTCCTAATTATTTTTGGGAAGTATTAATGTGTCAGTTGTTGATTGGTCCAATGTTAGCTTCTTGGAGCCAAAGTTCTCACCTGCATTGCTCTTGAAGGCATCCTCCTCATATGATTTAAAAGGATTTGGAGCTTCCTTTTGTTGAGTTTAGGCTCAAAATCCTCTCCTGTGACGTCGTCAAGACCTTGTAACATTCCTGCTCAAGACTCCCCGCTGCACTCGGAAAACCCTAACCTTCTCCTGAGTAGAATCAGTTAGGTTTGAAGTTAATCTTAAACCTTTGCACGCGGTTTCTACTTTTCTCTCTCAGACTCACCTTGCACCAACCTTAACTCCAAATTCATCTCGCTAAACTCTCAAGACAAATCCTCACCCTTAACAGAATCAAGCCGACTCTTTCAAGAAAAGCCTTGGTACTCAATCCCATCAAGATAAAACATCAGTAAATCTGATTGATCAATATCCTTCCATTAACACCCATCTTCCATCATTTCAGTATCTGATCTTCTGCCCTTGATGTTTGTA